TATATATATATATATATATTCAAGTAACATTAGGCTTATTTCAAACAATAAAGTCTTATGTTAATATTATTTAAAAATTTTTTATTACTCTTAGTAGTCGAGATTATCGAATCAATGCGAACGATCCTTTCCTTAGCTGCATAGTATGTGCTTCGCTAGGGTTACACACAGTTTGCAAGTCAAAGTCTTCCTTATCTTAGATTGGTCGCGGCCCAAAGCTATAGAAACGAGGTTGTTCTGCTATTTACTCATAGCTAGGGCGGGAGAAGAGATGGATTCATACCTTTCACAATCGTATTATCTCGTAACATCGTAACTGGGATTCGATCTCGCCTCCTTGTCTACTCACTCCGACTTGCAATCCATTACTTTAACGTGCCTCCTCATTACACTTTACTTAAACCCCAAATTCTCGGGGGAATAAGAGTTTTATTTTTAATTATAAAGGACATGTCAGTGGATTGTGGGGATTATAAATTCTTCTTCTTATGCAACAGCTTGTAGATGTGCTGGTAATGTAAGGGATATTAGTGTGAAAAGTGAAATCCGTAGGTAGAGTTCGAATAGGCACCTACGCTCATTTTCGCACTAATAACCTTGGGGAAGAGAAGAATTTTGTTTCTTCTCTCTCTATAAGTATCGCTTAAATAGCAGAGGAAACTGGGATCTTTAGCAACCAGTTTGAAGTAAGGAAAACTGAATTTCAAACCGTGGAATAAGCAACAGGAAATCAGTTCAATTTTTTTTTTTCTCCAGAATGCTTAAACATTCTGATTATAAAGAAAAACAATTGTGGAGAGCCATGATAGCGTACACCCTGAAGGAACATGACATTAAAAAGAAAATAAAGAGCATTTGAAACTCTGGACGATTCTTACTGATTTAATGAATTATACAGGCGTTTTAATACAATGAAACCCGAGACCAGGCCACTTTATTTTCTTGTATATTCAATGTTTTATGTCCCCTTTAAGTCATGGGCGATAATGGCCCTCCACAAACTCCTGTCGTTTGTATCTTTTTTCTTACCATCCCTCAAGCTCCCTCTTCTGCCAATTATTTGAACGATCCCCTTCGGATGGTGACACTTTGTTTCCTTACGCTGCTCTTGTCTTCAGTATATTCTACGAGTGTCAGATTCCCCAAGCCTTCTTTCCTCATTATGCTTTCCAGAGATTTCAAATGTTTCTTCCTGACTTGTGTCCTTTTTCACCTCATTTACGTTACTTTCTTCTGTTTTTTTTCTTCTCTGAAACGATATTCCTGTTGCCCTAAATATCGTCTTCATCTATAAAGATGATATCAACCTTTCTCTGACTTACAGAATGATAGATATTACATACCAATTCAGTACTCTTTGTTCATACAGAAATTTTCCTGTTTAAGGCATCCTTCGTTACTCCATTGTGTATCTTTTTTGTTTGGGATGGGGGGGGGGATTGTCACATTTTTTAATCGTTCACATGACAAGTAAAAAGTCGCATTTTTCTAAGATGTTTTCTCCTCCATAGGCTTATTATTATTATGATGATCGACGTCACGTTCCATGCAGAAATATAGAAACTATTCGGATTATTCGCAGGAATCAACTTAAAGAAACTCAGTGTCACTATAATATTTACCCTATTATTAATAATACGGAACAATACTATAGCGTGGTCCGGAAGTCTTGTCACTCCTACATAATCTAATTTTCTATTTCAACGCTCTGTGGGATATTATCATAGATAGATAGAAACATAGGAACAATACCCATCAGCTGAAGGAGGCCGTTCGCAGAGCCTTTGCCACAATCAATAAAGCACAGCTTCGGAAAATATCACGTAGGACATGTCGCCTCATCATTTTGTGTCACTAAAATGGTGTTCATACAGACCTTCTCGATGTGTGTATTGTTTATGGAGGATTGATTAGTGATGGACGAGTTTTTGTGGTGAATGGGCAGGAATCTGATTAGCTAGGTAGAAGATAGTGTAGACCAACCACAATTCTTCTCCCCCCCACCTTGTGCCATAATTGTATTTTAATACAATAAATATTGACCTTCTCGATATGCGACACCGTCAATGAAAACGAATAAACTGAATCCAGTATATGTACTTTGTATTGTTCTATTGTTCTCATTACTTCTTGGTGGGGGGGGGTGACAACTTTCGAACCACCCTGTAGAAAGAATATTATGTTGGAAGCTTTTTACTCTAAAATTTAGGTAAAAGTTTCTAAGCCCAGCTTAGATGTGGCACAAGGCCGAAAGTATGGGGCACCCAGTGAGGATCGAACTCACTACTCAGTCGTAATTAATCTAGTAAGACAAGGTTTCTAATCATTACACCACGTCGAGGTGCCCTAAGCTAATGATGGTGTAGCAGACCCGATTACCCACACTTCAGGAATATAGTCTAGTTAAGCTGTGATGCATGATTGGAACTAGCCCACTTCAGACTTCGGGGAGGGCAGAGGGAACGCTAGTCTAAATTATACTCCGTGGACTAGTTTTTACTAGCTTCTACATCCATTTTTTTTTTTAAATCTGGAATTTTATGTATTTTCCGGTCTACAAACGGATAATAATCCCGGAGGTGGACTCTTCAACAGTAATCAAGTATCTATGCTTTAACAAGGAACTATTCCAGTTCGATTAATCTGGTTCTTTTAAAGTAAACACTATGCCCTGGAGTATACAAATGTGGTCTGAAGACATTTGTATACAGAATATCACTAGTCATTCATACATACAAAAAACATTCAATCCTTTTAAAAAATAATCAATAAGCACGAAGAATTTAGATTTAATATTGAAAAAATCAATTAACTACGACTAGGATTGGCGACCACAATCTTAGATATGCAGAGGGCAGAGGAATGAAAGCAGAAACAGAAAGGAAACTAAAGGAAGCCCTTAAGAAGGCAGTAAAGAAAAGCGAGAAGAAAGGACTAAACCTCAATTGTAACAAGGCAAAATGTATGATAGTCAGCAAGAGTAACAGACCAACATGCGAATTAAAATTTGGGAGATACAAAACTTTAAATATCTTGGCAACGTTTTAAAAATGCAAAACTGAAATCCGGGATAGTCAATTATCAAGCCGGTCTTCCAAAAACTAAGAGTAATAAGAAACAGTAAAATTTCGTTAGAAACAAATAGCACAGAACTCTTATGTAATATCAGTTCTTCCGACAGTCAATGCCGTAGAATCTCTTCACAGATGAAGAAACTTGAAGCAACAAATGTGGTTCTGAGAATACAATGAACAACGAAGTTTTAGAGAAAAGGGTAACAAAAAAAGGAAACTTACACGTTACAAGAAATATTGAAGGCAAGAACAGAGGAAAGTGGCGGGAAACGAGCATGTATAGATGGTTGACGAAACAACTATTAGTAGATATAGCAAAAAGAATACAACACTAAAATGCTACAAATTGTGGCGTGTTATGGCAGTACACATACTGAAGAAACACGGTATATAGAAGAATGTGAAAACCAAATAATCGGAATTAAATTGAGGGTTGTATAATGCGCACAAAAAAAAATGAGGACATGTGACGCTTTATCATCCTGACTACCTTCACCCGATTAGTGAGGATATTTACTTGACTCTCAAAGGGTCAGGATGTGACACAAGGTCGGTTTAGGAGACCCGAGCATTTCCACTCAAGGGCCACTGGTCCAAAACTGGTCATAGCATGTCCAAGCTGGTCCGAGCTTAGTCAAAGTTGGTCATGGCTTGTCTTAGCTGGTCCGAGCTTCGTCAAAGTTGGTCATGGCTTGTCTTAGCTGGTCCAGGCCTTGTGCCATAATTTTGTAATTTTTACAAAATAAATATCCATTCTGAGTATCTCCGATTACCATCTAGGTATGCAGCAATAAATATCTAATTACATGGGAAGAAGTACGTGTATTCCAGATTAACCTATTTATACCCGAGATTATAAACTGGCCTTGCCTGCATATACCCCAGGTTTAAAATGGTCTAGCCTAGAAAAGTAAACACGTGGTTGTATTTATTTATTTATTTATTTATTTATTTATTTTTGGTGCCATAGATTTATAGCAGTAAACGAGTACGATAGATTCAAAGAATTAACTAACTATTTATATGCAAGGTCAAACTGTAATTTAAATTTTTATTTTTTTCTCTTAATTCACAAATATTAAATAAAAAATTTACATATTTCAAATCAAAGTTTGTTTAGATTGCCTCGCAAAAACTCCAACCCTCAGAATTAAAAGGTACCAAACCATTTTTTTTAAAAAATGGCTTTTTTATCGGGGTAAGCAAGAACATAGACTCCCCACACTTAGGAATAGCTCACTCGACTCGCCCACATTTGATTGCAAAGTTCAACCCAGCCTGCGTGTAATGGAAGGGCTTCTCTCTGAGAGAATTTGGTGTGAATTTTAGTAAATATATATATATATATATATATATATATATGGGTGAATTAACAAAAAAGATCATATTACAAGCAGTATGAATGGAAATAAATTTGTAGTTTTTTGAAAAGCATATTTCTAACAGCCCGTCAAATTTTCAAGACATTATGATCGTCTCTTAAATACAAGAAAGGAATGCTATTGATATGATTAAACTGACGCGGAGACAAATCTTTTTGCTTATTTCTTGAGAGCAATACAACAGAGCATCATGTTTCCATGTTCTTGAGAGTTTTGAAAAAATACCGCAAACAACCTAAATATTAGAATTCCTAAAATGAAATCAGTCTTTAAAAAGATGCGCTCATCCTGTGTGCTATTTTCTATTCGTCAATAAAATCTTGGCGCTTTTCTTAAAGGGCCTTATCTCGTTTCACTAACACCACTCTAAATACAAAATCCTTAAAAGTGATTTTACGCTATTCCAACGTGTTGCTTTTTCCTTTTTTGTCAGATTTCATTGAAGTATCTAAATCACCCACCCCCACGTTAGAATTTGAAATGACTTTTTAGAAATTGGTGTGTAATCAAATTCAATGAGTCGGCACCCTTCACTGAAACTGCATTAGTTGTCAGTTTCGATAAAAATAAAATAAAAACAGCGGTAAAACGAGATTAGATTTAAAAAAAAACTGTTGCCCTTGGCAAAAGAGTTTCCAGATATTGGCTCATCGTGATGATCTTCAGCGAGGGATGAGAGATGGACTATTTCTGGTGAAAATTCAAAGCTAGAATAAAGAAAGCAACCAAAGAATAACTCAATTAATATAGAACAAAAGCTGAACAAAATGAAGAAAAAAGTTGGTTCAAAAAGAAAAGAAAAGTAATCATTTATAGTAACAGTAAAAATAAGTCGGGTCAAGTGGGGGCATCTGAAGATAGAAGAGTCAACAAATGCTATTAAATGCATGTAGGCAGAAAGAAATCCTATAGACAAAAAGAGAAGTAAAATGTAATAAAGAGAAGGAAAGAGAAAGAAGAAAAGTATCAAATGCTTTAAAATAACGGAGAAATCGTGAAGAAAGATCGAATTAAAGAAAGAAAAAGAAAAAATATAAAGAAGTAATGACTGAAATAAAGAGAAGATGCTGAAAGAACAGAAAGAAAAAAAGTTTAAAATACGTTGAAATAAAGGAATCATAGATAATAAAATTGAATTAATATTTAATAAAAAAAAGAGAAGAAAAAGTAATAAGTGAAATAAAGAGGTTGAACGAGCGCAAAATAGAGAAATTTGAAGAAATAAATTGATAAAAGAAAAAGAAATGAGGAAAATGGCAGAAAGAAGAGAGAAAGAAAAGAACGTAAAATAAGTTAAAATAACAAAGAGAAATCGTGAAGTAAAAATCGAATCAATAAAAATAATGAGAGAAAAAGAAATAAAAAAAAGATTGAAAAAGTAAAATCAGCAGTAAAGAGAAAGGGAAAAAAAGGAGAGAAAAAACTGTTAAGATAAAGTGAAATCCTAATGAATGAAATCGTATATATAAAAATAGCGAGTGTGAAAAAAAGACACAAAGGAAAGAGAAACAAAGACTCTATTAAAGTGAAAAAGACGGAAGAATTTTTTTTTTTTAAAAATACCTTCAATTAATAGAGAAATCGGGAAGAAAACGATTTTATAAGAGAACCGAGAGAAAGGAAATGAGAAAAGAAACGAAAAGAAGTAAAATGAAACAAAGAGAAAGAGAGAAAAGGAAATAAAAATAAGATAGGGAAGGGATATTAGGAAGAAGGTAATTGAATTATTAAAAATAACGAGAGTAGAAAAAAAACTTAAGTTACGGGAACGAAAGGGGAATAAATGGAAAAAATCACGTTAAAACAATAAAGATAAATCGTGAAGAAAGAAATCAAATTTATAAAGAGAGAGAGAGAGAGAAAGAGAGAGAAAGAAAAAGAGAGAGAAAGAGAAATGAAAATAGAAAAGAAGACGCAAAAATCTTAAAGAAATCGTGAGGAAGAGAAGTAAAAACCAATAACGAGAAGAGTAAGAAAGAATAATAAAGAAAAGAGGAGGAAGATAAGAAAAAATGAAGAGAAAAATATTTTAAATAAAGAATAATAAAGAAGACAAAACCATAAAACGCAATGTAGCATGTCGGGTGAAGAAGCGATAAGATGATTTGTTTGTGATGGGAGATTCAGTTTTTTTTTCTTAACCATCCCACGTCCGACCGATAATCTAATGATCTATTGAGTTGCTTGATCATTGTCACGTTGATGTCACTTGGATGTTTCTTCATGCGATGAAGTCACTGTTCTTGACCGTTGCAAGATAACTTAAGATATTGATACATCAACCGCGCTTTCGATAAGGATTATTCTGGTCGTTGAACGAAATTTGATAACTGCTTCAGGATCGCTCCTTTTCTTTACATTGTCGTTATATTTTCATCGAAACAAGAATATGCAATATTGAGTAGCGATGATCATGTCTCTCCACAACATCCTCTTCTTTGTAACTTTAAAGCAGTTATTTGTCCCCTTAGTATTCTTTCTAGTTGCTGCTTTGCCATCCATTTACCCAAGCTTGTTAGGCACGTTACTCACTACTTTTCTCTTGGCCCTTCTTGTTTTCAGAAGTTACATCCTCATGTGAGTATCAAAATTACCAAGCTTTCTTGCCTCATTATTTAATCCAGAAATTTCAAACGTCTATTTTGGATAATAAGTACAACTGTTTCCATTTTACTTAAAACATTCTTGTGTTTCTTTAATGGTTTTCTTTGGCGAACGCGCAACGATACAGACAAAAAAAGAGGCCCGGATCAGGTGTGGACAGGTTTGTCAGCACCAGTTACATCCAGGTTTTCCCCTTTAGCAGTGGGACAACTTGGCATGTCTAGATATGGGCCTCTCGAAAACTGGTCAACATTGTAAGTTTCCTCATGCTAATAAAAGCAATGGGAAAACCAGCAATCAGTAAGACACGTTGTCTTATGAATATCTGACGTTGGATTAGCCTCTTTTATTCCTCCTCCAATGCTGTGGTGCGGGTGAAGGGGAAGCGGTCTCCGCTTTTGCACTGTCTCGGTCGGTTCTCCAGGCTTGCCCACTGCCCTCCCTACTTTACACGGTGGCGTTGGAGACCCTTTTCACCGTAGTCCGGCCATTAGGTGGAATCGCTATCCCTGGTGGGCCTCGAGCCAGGGTTTCTGCGAACGCCGATGACGTGTCCACTTTCGTGTCGTTCCGCAGTGACATCCAAGTGGTGCTGAAGGCGCTTGAACGGTACGGGAGGATGAAGGATGCCAAGATTAACCCGGCAAGTCTTCCGGCTTGCGGTGGGATGCCTGGAAGGGGAGTCGATCTTCTGTGGCCGTATGGTTGGACAGACAGGTTCGTTCGTATTCTTGGCGTGTGGTTCTGTCCCGGACTCCAGCTGGAGAAAAATTGGTCTGAAGTACAAGCAAAGGTCGGCGCGTTGGTCGAGTTTTGGTGCCAAAAGCGGTTGTCTTTGAAGGGTAGGTCTGAGGCGTGTGCCACTTACGTCTCTCCTCTCATCTTTTACCGGCTGGCTGTACTTCTTGTCTCTGGAAGGAAAAAGAAGGTGATCGAGAGTTTGCTCTCCTCCTTCTTGTGGGGTAGCCGCAAGCATCTCGTTGACAGAGTTGTCTGTGTTATGGGAGGCTGGGAATGCCACACTTGACCAGTCGCCGACACGCCTCGAGGATGGCTTTCATACGCCGCGCGTTGACAGATGATTCGATCTTGAAGGGAAGGGCGAGAGCCTCATTTCCTTGCCTTACCATCACTCCTCTGGGACCTGGGGCCGAATACCGTTGTTCGCCCCAGGATCCATCGGATTTCCTCCTTGAGTGTCGATCGGCCCATTGACCTTTCTCGTCTTGTATCGGGAATTAGTAGAGGGGTTGGTGAAGAATCCACTGTGCAGTAGATTTGTTTGGAGTTTCGCTCGTTTTGGCCCTGAGCGTCAGCGTTGGATTATCACAGCAACACTGAGTTTTCGCTTACCTGCCGATTGGTTCGAAATTGGTTATCTCTCAATGACGTACCTTTGAAATGGGGCTTGGCGAATTTGCCAGACTATCAACGATGTTACCTTAGCTTAAAGGAAACGGCTTCACACATTTTCTACCATTGCCCTTGGTTGCGCCCGCTTTGGGACTATGTTGGCGAATTGACGGCTAGTATCTCTCCCAAAAAGATCGTGCTCATTTATCGCGCATACGCATGTGACACTGTATCGACCTCGTATTCTGGGGTGAAACGAATAGTTTTTCTGACGCTGCTGGGCACGACTCGAATGGTGATTTGAACGATGCAAATGAAGGAAATCTTGCGGTGCGATCGCTACTATCATCGGGATCTGATCAGATTCTTTCAGTATCAGGATGAAGATCAGAACTCATAGAAAGCGGTTCGTATCGACAGATTTAAAAAAAAAAACGTGGGTAACTGTGGCGACCCTGGTTAGCCTGAACGGAACAAGCTGTGATTTTCTTTTTTAGGTCACCCTAAGTTACAACGTGGCGATTTCCTGAGGAGACCTCCCTTGGTTAAGATAGACTTTTCTAAGTTTACCTAGTTAATGTATGTGTCGTTCCAAATTTGTTCTGGTTACGCCCCATGACCCAAGGCGAGATCCCCTATCCCCCCAGTATGTTTTGGCATGCCCTTTTTTTTTATCTCGACTGGGTAATTTGTTTTTTTTAATTTTCTAATACTCATATTTTTTTTATTTTATTTTTCTTCCCTTAGCGAGAGAGCCAATGTTGTCGAAAGACAGAATACAGCGGTCACTCTTTTTTGAAGAGTGGACGGCTCCTACTACCATCATTTTTTCAGATTTTCGATTTTATCTACCTCCATCATTTCATTGATATATATATATATATATATATATATATATATATAGAGAGAGAGAGAGAGAGAGAGAGAGAGAGAGATAGAGAGATAGATAGATAGATAGATATTCTGTATACACAATTATACATATTCAAATTTTTAATTCATGGGGTGTTTTTGTCCCTGTGTGTGCGAGGCATTTCGGTGTATGCAGGAGTGAATATTAATGGATAAATTGTTATGGTGAATGAGTATATTTTAATGACCTCAACTGCCCTCCTTTTCGGCCTCGTGCTATAATTACTGTGTAAAAATCAGTAATAAATCGTTCATAAGTTGTGAAGTTGGCCTCAAAAGGCTGATGTGGCTTCCAAGGCAGTGCCATTTTTGTCTCATACCCTATTACCATAGGGAAAGCAATCGGTTAAGTGTTTCCCCCAATATCAACGCACTCTTTTTTTTTTCTTTTTTTACATCATATAATCAACATACTTCTGTAGAAATGCATTGCCTCTCCGCTTTATCTGTAAGGAAATTGTCCAGCATTGACTTCCATATATGATGATTAATATTGCATTGCAATACAGCGCACATTTCTTTGTTTCTAACGAACATTTCTTGTTAATACTTTATTTAAATTTTGGAAAAAAAAAATTTCATTATCCGATTTCGCCTTCCTCCACCAATAATAAATCCTCGTACAGACCTGGCTGTCTTGTGTATGTCTCACAGTATGTTATTAATACATCCTGTCAGAAGTGGCATACTTTCGATGCACTTTTCTATTATAGTCTACTGTATTTGATTCGTTTTTTCTATCCATGCGTAGACGGTTTGGAGAATAAAATATCAGACATTTATTTTAATCTTGATGCTAACTAATTCTGTACTGTAAATGCTGAAACTAGCTGTCAGTGTAAGTTGTCGAAATGATGAAATGAAAGGAACTTGATCTGTTATCTTCAGTGTCATGTGGCCAATTAAGATGAGCTTGTTGCTTCCAGTTATTGCGTTTTTCTCCATTTGTTATATTTCTTTTATTTTTCTAAGCTAAAAGTTTTCGTTTTCTTCTTCATTAGTATAGCGAAAACCATCCAAAACCGAAAAAGACTCAGGGGATTTTTTTAGAAACAAATGTATGGCAATGATTGTTAGACAATAACCTTACAGAAGATTCTTCAGCGTCATAACAACAAGGGAAATCTTTTAAAAATATGGTCTGTAGAAGAACGCATGCTTAAGAGACACTTGGAAATTCTAGGACACAGTATGAGGAATGATGGGTTAAAAAATGCAATGCACGTACATAGGGCATGCTTCCAAGCAAAGGCAGGTGTAAAGAACTCGTAATCTTCTTTTGGTGTATGGTAAAGTGTGAGATTGTTGAGTAAAAGAACAAGAGTCGATATGTCACAATCGCCTAAGTCCTGAAATGATACCATACATCAAGGAAGTATCTCTTCTGCTGTTGTTTCTTCCATTTTTCAAGCTCTTTCTGCTATCTTTATCTTGGGAACTGTACGGAATGGATTCATAGTAATTTTCTTTTCTTTTTTTCACTTAAACAAATCTGGGAAAATCGTTATTTTCCTTCTTCTTCATCTTCATGTCTATCTCTATCTATCTCTCTCTCTCTATATATATATATATCTATCTCTCTCTCTCTCTATATATATATATATCTATATCTATATATCTCTCTATATATCTCTCTATATCTATCTATCTATATCTATATCTATATCTATATATCTCTCTATATATCTCTCTATATCTATCTATCTATATATCTATCTATCCCTATATCTATATATCTCTATATCTATATGTATCTATATCTATATCTATCTATATATCTCTATATCTATCTCTATATCTCTTTATATCTTTATATCTATCTATATATCACTATATCTATCTCTATATCTCTTTATATCTCTTTATATCTCTATCTATCTATCTATCTATCTATCTATATATATATATATATATATATATATGTGTGTGTGTGTGTGTGTGTGTGTGTGTGTGTGTGTGTGTGTGAAAATATATAGAAAATAGGAAGGAACTGGTTAGGTAAATAATCCAAAGTTCCTTAGTATTTTAGTTATTATTTTTAAAAAATAGTGCTCGATACAAAAGTAGAGCATAAATATAATTATTTATTTAAAAATATGATTCCAACTCGCGACATAAGAGGTCTCATGTTTCAAAACAAGAGCCGAAAACTTCAATATAATTATTTTAATTAAATTGAGTTAAAGTAAGCTCTGTTCCATCTTCAAGCG